GATGAGCCCACAGTAATCCTAAGTCAGCATGGCTTGCCTGCTGCTTTGAAGGCACAGTGAGGCTCACCTTACTGCTCTGTTTAATGCTTAGGTCGTTGATTCATCTTTGAACTAAATATTCCCATTACTGATATAGCACCCCTGACAACAGATAGAGTTGTCATTTTGAACTCAAAATTCAAACATTCATTTCATAACTCTTCCTACAAGATGCATTGCTAATCTCCACTACCATCTTGGCAATTAAGTCTGTGCATCAGACAAAGTGTGAAATTATGGTTTGGCTTGCTAATCTTGATGATACATTACATGGTTTGCAGGAAATTTGAGGACATTTTTGATGTGGACCACTTCATTGACTACCTGAAGGATGATGTTCGGATTGTCCATGATATTCCTGCATGGTTTACTGATAAAACAGAGCTATTTTCAAGTATAAGGTTTGATATCTACCTGTCCCATGGATCTGACTTGATCGAAAATGTAATTTTTGAGTTTCCTAAAAGAGATGGATTTATTGATTCCTTTATTTTGTTGGTATTCTGTCTCATCTGTAGAATGATTTTGTCAAGTTCTGATTGAGTCTCTGGATCTTGCAAATAGCAGGACAATCAGTTGTAACTGCTTGTCCATTAAGCATAGCATTGATTTATGATGTGGCATCATCTATGAATAAAGAAAACAGAAGCACAGTTGTTCTTCCTGAAACTTCTGACAGTTCACTTTTGAATTTGTTATCTGATAAAAATGTGCAATGATATAAAAATAGTTGTTCAAATGATATGTAGGCATGGATTTATCTAGCTGTGATTATTTGCTTGAACATTTACAACACAATTTATTGGCAGAATAATTAGGGAGGTGAATTTGGGCTGGTGATTGGATTGGGTTAGTTGATGGACTTTATATGTTGCCAAACTAAATATTTTTTCTGATGCCGTTTCTTTTGTTCTTTAGTTAGCCTTCTACGGGTTACTCTTTTCTGTATGAAATGCTTACCATTGATGCCAGCCTAAGTAAATATGAGATTTAGGGCTAGATTGTAATGCCTTTGTGTTTGGTTGCAAACAGCTTAATTCACCAAGTAAATATGATGTATTTTTCAGACGGACTGTAAAAAACATTCCAAAATATGCACCAGCTCAGTTTTACATCGACAATGTTCTACCCAGAATCAAGGAGAAGAAGGTTATGGCTTTGAAACCTTTTGTTGATAGGCTGGGGTAAGTGAAGGATTAAATATATGCTACCCTCCATTGTTTACACTATTTGTTGTTTATATTCTTATTACAACACTTCCATTGTTTCAGATATGACAATGTTCCTCCAGAAATCAACAGGTTGAGATGTAGAGTCAATTATCATGCTCTGAAATTTCTACCTCATATAGAGCAGATGGCTGATTTACTAGCATCAAGGATGAGAAACCGAACTGGCAGTTCAAATCCTTATATGTAAGTCTCATCTGGGATTAAGGTCTTGCTGAAGCTGAATCTGAGTCTCATTTTTTAGGCAGTTAACTATTTGTTTTTCCATGAAATAGGGCTCTGCATCTTAGGTTTGAGAAAGGGATGGTGGGTCTGTCATTCTGTGATTTTGTGGGGACAAGAGAGGAGAAAGCTAAAATGGCGGAGTACAGGAAAAAGGAGTGGCCTCGACGGTACAAGGTACTGAAGGTTAAATTGTTTGTAAGAAGCCTAAAAAGCTTCAATTGCAACACCTTGTTCGTATCATCTTTGTTGAAAATGAAAATGCAGAATGGTTCGCACCTGTGGCAATTGGCCCTGCAGAAGAGAAAGGAAGGACGATGTCCTTTGGAGCCCGGAGAAGTGGCTGTGATCCTTCGAGCCATGGGTTATCCTAAGGAAACTCAAATTTATGTTGCTTCTGGACAAGTGTATGGTGGACAAAACCGGATGGCACCCCTGAGGAATATGTTCCCGAATCTGGTAAGGCCTGCCCACTTCATATGGATTATTGAAACGGGGCACGGTACGATGTGAGTAATCATATCACATTTTTGGGTAATAACAGGTTACAAAGGAGGAGCTGGCAACTAAAGAGGAGTTGGATGCTTTTAGAAAGCACGTGACGAGCCTAGCGGCTCTGGACTTCTTAGTATGCTTAAAATCTGACGTGTTTGTGATGACCCATGGGGGCAACTTTGCTAAATTGATCATTGGGGCCCGTAGATACATGGGTCACCGTCTCAAATCAATCAAGCCGGACAAAGGACTTATGTCCAAATCTTTTGGGGATCCCTACATGGGTTGGGCTACTTTCGTTGAAGATGTTGTCGTTACCCACCAAACACGAACTGGATTGCCAGAACAGACTTTCCCCAACTATGACCTCTGGGAGAACCCGTTGACTCCTTGCATGTGTAAAGCCTGATTACAGCAATTTTACTGGTACAAGTTGGTCCCTGTGCCCCTCCAAGAAATGCGCACCATCTAAAAATTAGGTGGTTAGCTTGGGATCCCCGAAAACGTGGATTTTTTTTTTTTGGGTTTTTTTTGGGGAGAGTGGGGGGGGGGGTTTGGGGGGAAGGCCTCCAGAAGCGAGAGTGGACTGTTAAGTTACTTTCCTTTTCCCTCAGGAACCCGTTGTATTATCATGAGACAACACCTGTTTTGTGTCTACATCTAACGTGTAGCAGTTTTGTTATTTCTTCCCATTAAAAAGAAATTGATTTTTTGGTGTTAAAATAGTTTGGCATTTACTAGTGAAGGCGGAAGTTATTTTTGCCGTCATTTTTATGAGCCGTTGTCGCAAAATTAGAGGTGCGTGCCGTTAACAAACACGTTGAGAAATGACATTTGGCTGTTTACACCCTACGGAAAAGGGTTCAATTGTGTATTGTCAAGAGATGCTTCCGAAATTTTGAACAAACGCGTCGAGAAATTATATTTGTCACTTTGCACCCTGCGGAATGTTCAATGTTATTCAAAAAGATTTTTTATTTTCATGCTTGGAGCTCAATATAAAACCGGAATTTCGATATATGAACACATAATTATATGTTACTATCCTATCTCTTATTATAGTTTCTTCAATTTTGGTCAAAATATTAGAGTGATTCATTGAGTTTCCTTGGCAATCAAAATTGGTGTTTCCGTGGAATCATTGCCAATGAATTTTCTTGTGCCCTTGTTCTAGCAGAACTCCAAACCTTTTTGGATTCCCATAAACTCTACCAAGGTAATAGGTATAAAACCAATTCTCCTCTCCGGTTCACAGACCCACCTATATTCAAGGTGCGTCCAGAATCGTGGGGCAGTCAAAAAGAAACAAGTTTTGAAGAAGGCTTTAATCTCAACGAAGTTAGTTTATTCTTGTCGGGAAAAAAAGTTGGTTTGCACTTTGTTAATGAAAATTTGTTGGATGAAGATGCCTGTCCAGTTTTCGTTGGAAGATTGCAAGTGGGTGAGAATTTTTGTTGGTCTGGTCTAGTCTAGTCTATCTTATTGTTGCAATCAATATATATTCATGTTCATTTATATTAATGAATAAATAAAGAGAAAATATAATCATTTATTCCAATAATTTTATAGGATTTTGCTTTTACTACTTGTAGTTTTTTTTTTTTCAATGTTTTTATCCTTACAGAGATTAAAATCACTAAAAATATTAAAAATATAGAGAGTTAAATAACAACCATCACGTAGTTTTATTAAAATTATAAGGATTGAAAACTTAAAAAAAACTATATAGACTAAAAACAAAATCAAATGAAATTATGGGAGTGATAATTGTGTTTTTTCATAAATAATAAATAAATAAAAAGTGAGTATTTATACTTTCCTTTATTTCCTATCAAATAAAGCCTTAATGAGACGACAAGATATTTGGTCAATTGGTCATATGTTTCTTATGGCGTAACACAAAATACTTGTTATAACGAATGTGTGACATGTATGAGATAATCAATTATCAAATCATTGAACAGTCATTTCTCATGCACTTTTAATAATGAAAAAATAAAAAAAAATTATTTTTTAATCTTTTAATTTTCAACTTATTTATAATTTAATCTTTAATTATGATTCATTGTTATTCGGTCCTTTAATTTTTGACTCACTTATAAATCAATCTTTATTTTTAATTTTTTTAAATTATCCTTATCAAATAAAATAAATAAAAGAAAGTTCATATCTTGTACTAAAATATCCTTATTTTACTCTTTCATGTGTGATCTAAGTTAACATTAAAAAAATAAAACAAATAAAAGTTAAGGGATTGATTCATAAACGAGTTAAAAGTTAAATAATTGAGTTATATATAAATTAAAAATTAGTAGATTAAATCGCAGCAGGTCATAATTGAGAGATTAAATGATAAGTTAGTTAAAAATTAAAGTATTAAAAAATTAATTTTTTTAACATAAATTGAGTTCATAAATTGATAAAATCCAAATGAAGGTTCCTTCACCGTGTCTTGTTTGGGCGAGAAATCTCTGCGCACGCGCCCGCCCCCGCACTTCCCATGACATCATCCTTCACCAAGTAAGCAGCCAGATGTGGATCGTTGTGGCGGACTTATTTAGGCTAAACAGGCCTGCTTCTCTAAAATGCTCAATAATCAAGCTCAATTTAAATATTTAAAATTATTTTTAATTAATTTTTATTTTAAGATTAATTTTTTTATTTTATATAAAATATATTTTTTTATATTTAAATTATATACATGATTCAAATATATAATATTTTAATATAAAAAACCTAAAACATTAAAAATTAATTAATATTTATTATATTTTATATATTTTTTAAAAATAAAAATTATTTATTCAAATATATTATATAAAATAACCTAAAATATTAAAAATTAATTGATATTTATAATATTTTATATATTTTTAAAAAATAAAAATTGTTTATTCAAATATTCATATCAAGCCTAACTTAAAATTTAGTTTAAATTTTTTTTTTTTGATCTAGCTCGAATAGATTTAAACATAAAAAAATTATACATTTTTAACCTCAGCTCTAAAATTTCAGGAAGGTTTGACTCCGTCGGGCTTTGCTCTACTTTCACCGCCCTCTGGTGTATACATTTGTTCTTTACTCCGCTCTATAACTTCAAAGTCGGAACAGTTATCATATAAAATCTGCTGATCTCAAAGTCTGGAGCAAATAATTCACGGTAATCTGAGTTTCTCCAATTCTAAATGGAAGAATTACCTTCACATCAATTTGTTCCTTTTCTTCACTCCTGAAGTCGAAATTTATCGAAGCAAAATTATCCCGAGTCTAGAGCAAATAATACTAGGAGATTCAAGTCGATTTATCCCATTTTAAATGGAGGAAATCCCATAAGATAATGTTTATCTCCGTAGGATTCAGTGAAGTGCTATTTTGGGATTGCGTAAAGAAGCAACACGGCTTAGCAAAGTGGCGACAAGGAAAATGAGCAAATGCAACCCAACCATGAACGCAATAGCATTGAAGGTATTATTGTCAGTGTCTGGTATTTTGTCTACAACTCATATTTAATATTATTATTGTTGACGATAGTACTGCTCAAATTTAGTATTTAACAGGCAGGAGCTGCCCGCAGGTACATCCGTCCCAGCAACCATGAAAAGTCTGCTTGTAATTTCTGCCTGCACTCTCTTTTTTCTCTGCAGTCAGAGGTATGTGAGTATCTTCTTCTCCTCTTCTAACGTTTATTTAGTGAAAAGTGTCAACTGCATGTTTGTGTACTGAAGAGCGTTGAAGGATAATGCATTTCGGTTTCATCTTTCTGAGGAGAATTTATATGCGCAGAAAGTGGTCGATTTAGCTGTCCGGAACTAAGTAGTCTATTGAATATATAGCTAAGCTGCTGTTATCGAGAAGTTTCAAATTATTCTCATTGATGTTATTTTTATTTACTTGTTCAGTGTCGGTTTGGTTGCATTCTTCGCACCCTAGAAAGAAAATATTTAGTTCATCTGTTTTTGCCTCAAACTTGAAAAAGAAAAGAGAGAGAGAGAATATTTTCGAGTACGACACGGATGCTATTCAGTTGTTTGTTGAGAAAAAAGTAACGAAAGATCTAACATGACTCAATTTGCTCATCGATTATTTAAACATCTGGTCAAATATCAAGATTCTTGGATCAAATCAGAAAGTGCAAGAGATGAACATCATTTGTGAAAATTTTGATCGTTTATTTTAGGGTGTCATCTGAAAATGTAACCAAGACTAGTGGCCTACAGCGAGCTAGCTTCCCACCAAGAGGTTGGAATTCCTATGATTCATTTAGCTGGACAATTTCTGAAGAAGAATTCTTAGAGAGTGCTGAGATAATTTCTCAGCGTCTCAAAGATCATGGATATGAGATTGATTTTATTTGATAAATGTTTTGATATATATTAGCAGTATTTTTGCTTGATACAGATCTGAATTTCTTTCCTTCAAATTCTTGTAGTATGTTGTGGTGGATTATCTCTGGTATAGAAAGAAAGTCAAGGGTGCTTATCCTGATTCTCTTGGATTAGATGTGATTGATGAGTGGGGGAGGATGATCCCCGACCCAGGAAGGTGGCCATCTTCCAAAGGTGGGAAAGGTTTCAGCGAAGTAGCTGATAAAGTACATCGCATGGGTTTGAAGTTTGGGATTCACGTTATGAGAGGCATAAGCACACAAGCTGTCAATGCGAACACCCCTATCTTGGATACAACAACGGTGTTGCTCCATCTTTCTTCTTTGACCTCAAAATTTTTCCCCTTGTAAATTCCAAAATGACAGTAATGGGTTCCTTAAGTAATAATAAATCTTGTGGAAAATTACAACAGAAGCAAGATATGCATATATTTGTTTGTGTATAGTATAGACGGAAGTTTTCTGTTGATTCTTGTTACTCTAATCAAAAAACGAATTCCTAGAAGATATTATTGAGCCTCAAGCTGAAGTTATCGTTGACAATTGACTTTGCAATCTTGCAATTTGCTAGGGAGGCTATTATCAAGAGCCCGGTCGAGTGTGGCATGCCAAGGACATAGCTATGCCGGAAAGGGCTTGTGCATGGATGCCTCATGGGTTCATGAGTGTAAATACAACATTGGGAGCTGCAAGGGCTTTTTTGAGTTCCCTTTATGAGCAATATGCTGCATGGGGCGTTGATTTGGGTGCCTCGACTACCTAAACATAGTCTATTCATCATGCACCACAGCAACATATATGTTACGGACATTAATCATGACGTTTTTGAAAAGTTTATTGCATTCCAGATATCATTTCACCTAAATTTGCGACAGTGACAATTTTGTGTTGTCTGTTTCATAAAGGTGATTCAGAGGGCTTTGAAAAGTGGAGTCATTGTTTTAAGTTCCTTTGAACTTCGACTGATGTTTCATGAAAATTCAGATCACATGACCTCGTCTCACCTCCCTGGCCACACTTTAGAACTAGTTCAACTAGAGGATTTTCCCCTCTCGTCCACTCTCTTCTCCTAGAAATGACTATCTGCATTATACATTTACAGTTCACATGTGGGTTACAGAAAAAAATATGTTTATAAGAAACTGTAGGCTTATGGTACCGGATATGAGCATAAGAGAAATTCTTCCTATTTTTCCTGTCACTTTGATAGATATGGCCTTTATATTTTCCTTGCAGTTAAACATGACTGTGTGTTTGGTGATGACTTGGACTTAAACGAAATAGGCTATGTATCAGAGGTATATTATGCAGTTTCTTCTCCCACTTGGCCCCTCCTTGTCTCTTCATATTAACAATTAGATCAATAATTATTTGGCAAGCATTTATAAGAAAACTTAATATATGAACTGCCATGCTAGATTCTCAAGGAGCTTGATCATCCCATTATATATTCTCTTTCTCCTGGAACCAGCGTGACATCAGCCATGGCTAAGGATGTCAGTGAACAAGTCAACATGTATCGTATAACAGGAGATGACTGGGATAGATGGGGAGATGTTAAAGCACATTTTAATGTGACAAGGTAACTAGGTTTTTGTTTTTTTGATGAACAAGGTAACTGGCTGTAAATTCAATGCATTTCAGTAACTGGAGCCAGTTATTATTACTTCACCCACCTTCTGTTATCTCCATGTTTTTTGGCCAGTATTTGGTTATCTCCATGCTACGTAACTCTCTCTCTTATCATTCTGAATCAGGGATTTTGCTTCTGCCAATATGATAGGAGCAGAAGGTTTGATGGGAAAATCTTGGCCTGATTTGGACATGCTACCATTTGGTTGGCTAACTGATCCAGGTTATCAGCACCTCTATTTCCCATCCCCCGCCCCTAGGAAACACACATGACCCTATTATTGTGCGTTGTTGATGATCGAATCAAAGTTTTCTTGTAGTATGGAGCATTTCCTAGAGAATAACTAATTCTATTAACTCAATAATATTGTTGATGGACTAAAGTCATTTCATAAAGCATTAGAAAATTTAGATATGTAGATAATTTGTATGAGCTAGTTTAAATAATTCGTATGATCTTTGGGAATTGGAGCATAAAGTACCTCTTTTTCTTCTCTGTCATAGGTTCAAATCAAGGCCCACACAGATTTTCTGATCTAAGTCTAGACGAGCAAAAAACTCAGGTATGCACTGAAGCACATTGGAGTTGCCTCCTATATGTTTGTTGGTGTACATTAATCATCAACGATTTCAAGCATTCTTATCTTACAGATGACCTTGTGGTCCATGGCAAAGTCTCCCCTAATGTATGGAGGGGATGTGCGCAAGCTTGATGAGACCACATATGATCTTATCACAAATCCTACTCTGCTGGAGATTAATTTTTTCAGCTCAGATAATATGGAGGTATGTGAATCTTTTTTTTTTTTTTGGCAATACTAGGTTGGTCAAATAAGAATCATATCACTGTTGCTTCATTGACAGTTTCCCTATATTACAAGCCCAAACAACTTCAAAAATGATGCAAAGTATCTTATTGGGAAAAAGAGAAGATCCAAGAGAGATGGACGAACGTCGTTTACACATTCATTAGGTCTCATTAGATGTAATGAGTCAAAGGCAAGTGGGTGGTATATTGAAGGTCTAGATCAAGATATTCAAAGAATTTGCCGGAAAAGGAGTCCAGGAAACAAGCAACAAGTACCTTTTTGTGTGCACAAGAGAGATTTTGGCAGGGCATTGTAATACGGCTTTTTCTTTCTTTGATCTATTTGTCTTTTTTCCCCCGGTTAACAATTAGTGCTACGTTGATGCTGGTGCAGAGATGAGGACACAATCTATCAAGAGGACTATGGAGGGAAACATCATTTAGTTGCAATTAATAGAATGAAATTTTGCTTGGATGGTTCTCCAAAAAGAAAGCTTACTTCTAGGGAGGTCAATTTAGGGACATTTTCTCCCTGCAGGCGGGATGCAAATCAGGTATGTTGTGTTATGTATTTCATTCTCTCCCTTGATACAGAAAAATATGCAATGCTACATCTTGTCTAAGCATGTGCACCCCTGTTTGGGATATCATAATTCCAAGTCAATTTCTTGTATCCAATTATAACTTTTTAGCCCCCAAAAGCAGCCACAATTAGACTTATACATTCATGGTATTTTTGGATTATATCGGAAGTTGATCTATCGAGTTATAACAGATATGGGAGCTGAATCTTAATGGGACCCTGGTAAACAGTTATTCTGGCCTGTGTGCAACACTAGATTCTGTCAAAGGTGAAAATTTGTGATTAGGTACTCATTTCTATGATGAAAAATATTTTGTAATTAAGCTTTGCCTTTGATGCAGCAAGGGAAAATTTTGGTGGACTTCATTCTTGGGTGGCTACTGGAAGAGAAGGTTTGACACGATCAAATACTTTAGATAAAGCTCTAGAATTTGTGTGTTTTCTGCAAAAGAACAAATACAAATTGACTCTTCGTGAGGATTCAAGCACAAATTGTTTTTTTTTTTTTTAATATAATAGCGGACGATTTAGTTCTAGCTTTATTTGTGTGGTTTAATTAATTGTTTACATCCTATCAATCTCCTCTCCTCCTCTCTACTACCTGAAATTGTAAACAATCACCCTCCCCTTGCATGCAGGAAATTTTGTTAGTTAAGTTGGCAAATTCAACCTTTACTTTCGTTTATGTTGTGGATTTCGGCAACTTTCATGTTGACTTTCCTCTTCCAACATTTTGATAATAGACTAACAAGCTGCACAGAATGATATTTATTTATTTTGTTCTCCATAAGGATATTGCTGCATGCTTATGTAGGACAAATTTATGTTGCATTCTTCAATTTAAATGAAGAGAAGACAATGATATCGATGGAGCTGTCAGACTTGGTTAAAGTGCTTCCGGGCACAGATTTCAGTTCCTGCAAGTGCAAGGAAGTGTGGAGTGGAAAAGACATAGTAATAGTTGAAGGAAAGTTATCACTGGCGGTGGCAAAGCATGGATGTGCACTCTTCGTCTTGCATTGCAGCTAAGTGCAGTGTACTCAATTTCCCAAATGAAAAACGTCATTGCTGAATGGTGAGTATTAATCTAGCACACCCCCACTTCTCCAATTTGAGATGGACCGGTTTATACATTAATGTAAAGCACTCCACCACATGTAGCTTAGGTGATAAAGCTGAAAAGAAACAAAGGTAGAGTTTTAAATTTAAATCCTTCTGATGTTAAAAAAATTTCAGGGCATCCATCACTTTACTAATGAGCTGCATATTATAATGCTGTGGAGATACGTTGGTAATGATTGTTGTGTTACTCAGTCTTTATCGTTATCATGAAGAATTATAAATAAATCAATTCTATCTGATCTTAATTGGACAAAAAACAAACTCAATTCATTTTCTCGCTCGTAATCGGTGTAAACTCCACCTTTATTTCTTCCACTTCGCTCATCGTTCCTATCATCGTTCCGATCATCTTTTCTTTTTCCGTAAAATAGACATTGTACAATGAAAATTGGGAGACTATTTATCTTGCATTTTTCTTTTTCTTTTTTTAGGAAAAAAAAATTATGTGAGTTGGGTCCTGGCTTATAAAGGTCGGGATATGCATAATTTATAGAAGTATATTTACATATTATTTATCAACTAGGGTCTTATATTAGCAATGAGATATAAAATGACAATTTTGTAAATTATGAATTAAATTCTTACCAATTGAATTGATTTTCATTAACATTATTGCATCCACATGAAATGTAAGTAATTTAAATCATGTTAAGTTACCTTCAAATTAAAATTTAACCAAAAAAAGAGATTAATGGTAAGATGTTAACGAAAGTCAGTAGTGTTAACATAATATTAATGAAAAAACATTTGATATATTAAAGCCTCTACTATAAAACATGTCAGGATAAACATACAGAAACGGAAAAGGTAAAGCTCCACAAAATGAAACGCAAGTAATTAAATTCTTAAAATTTTTTTGTAATTATTTCATTGATACTAATGATTATTGGAGTCCAAATAGCTCAGGTGACTCTCAATTTTTTATATAAAAATTTTACAAACATCAAGTTTTACATTGACTCAAATCCGAAGTGTGATACATCAAGTTTTTTTTTACTCCTACAATCAAGGCCACACAATGTTGGGTTTCAAATAGTATGGTGCATACACAAGTTTAGATATTAAAGATGCCACAAACAACAAAGTTCACATTGACTCAAATCTAAAGTGTAAGTTTACAAACTCCTTATATTGAAGATGTTACAAACATCAACTTCATGCTCCTGCAATTAGGGTCCACACATTCAAATAATATGGTGCACAAGCATTTTTTCAATATCAAAGCAAACACCAAGTCCCACATCGACTCAAGTTTAAGGTGAGAGTCCATAAGTTGAGTAGCTTGTTGTTTGTAGATGTGATAGATATCAAGCCCCATAATTTTGAGCTTTCGTATATAAGTATCTATATTAAAAATGCTACATAAAAGAAGAGACACCACATGATCTTGCTCTTGCAATTAGAGCCCATACAATTTTGGGCTTCCAACAGTACGGTGCACCTATAATTTTTTAAACAAAAATAGCACAGATAATTAAGTCAATTATCTAATATGAGACTACTCACATTAATCTTAAGTTCACCTACATTTAAATAAAGTAACTTGTGCAAATAATTATAAGCTTTAGATGTTACACATGTACATGTAGTTTTTTAAATCAATTATCATTACAGTAATATCATCCAAAATCTCCCTTTAAACAAAGTAACTTGTACAAATAATTGTAAGCTTTAGATGTTACACATGTAGTGTTTTAAATCAATTATGACTACAGTAAGATCATCCAAAGTCCCCCTTTAAACAAAGTAACTTATACAAATAATTGTAAGTTTTAGATGTTACACATGTAGTGTTTTAAATCAATTATCATTACAGTAATATCATCCAAAGTCCCCCTTCCCACGGCAAGGTTCACAAGCTCCTTGCAAGCGGGCAGAAGTCCAGAGGTTGCACTTTTCTTGCACACTTTGATTGGTTTTACTGGTGTCTCTTTTTTAATAAACACTCGCTTCGCCGATGAAATTCTGCGTGATTTCGATGGGGGGCTTTCATTTTCACAACGAAAATCATCTTCCCCAACTTCATTCAAGCCATTCAATGTCTTTTTATGGCCGCTCGACTGCTTCACAAGTGAAACTCTTCGTAGCCTCAATGACGGACTTACGTTTACTTGACCATAGTCATCATCAACATCATTCTGTTCATCTCCCAAGGAGCCTAGCTTCTCTTCATTCCGACATAAACGTGTCACAGTATCAACGGCTTCTTGGTTACCAACCTAGGCAAATCATGTTAACAAAATCAATCTCCCAGTCCTACACTAAATTGGAGAATAACATGTAGAGATGATGCCCTGTTCGTCAATCATAATTGTTCAGGAGCTGTTTGTGTCTCACCTCTTCCCACAGTCCATCAGAAGCCAACACAAGAAACTCCATATCCGCAGTTAATGGCAGAATCTTGGTATCGGGCTCAGCCACCACCCACTCCTTTAGATGAGCATCCCCAATGCTTCTAGAAACAGAGAGTACCCCATGAATTCTCCAAGCTCCTCGATGGATCTCCACGTATCCTCCCTTCAGATATCATGAATATAGCATGTGGATGTCTGCTCTATTCCATAAATATAATAATAAAAGTTGCATCGTTTTTTTTCTTGTATCAAGGAATGAGTACCTTTTCCTCAATTCTTCTCCGTTCATCTTCTAGTTCCACTCTGTGATCTCTTGTGAGAACTTCGGCCACTCCACCTCTGCAAAGAACTGCCCTGCAATCTCCCACGTTTGAAACAACAATCTCTTTCCCTTGGATCAGGGCTGTCACGCAACAGGCACCGCTTCCTATACCCTATATTCAGAGCATCCAAAAAAAAAAAAAAAATTTCCACCACCAACAAAGAATGAGATTCCGGAAAAAAATCCCTATTAGTATCCAAGTTTATTGTCTTAAACAATTTGTATAAACTTTTGTATTTGTGACATTTTTATGCATTCCGCTATCGCATAGTCATGACAAAAACAATATGCAAGAATAAGGTTACCAAGTTCAGAGGATGTTACATTTTCAACAATTACAATAATTCAGCAGAAGAGTGTTCTATATTCTAATATAAGCAGTTAATAGTGAGGATCCGAATCAATAGCAGAGCCTGGTGAACAAGAGGCATCTGTATTTTAGAATATAGAAAAACAGGGGCGAGCACTTGCCTTTTTCAAAAATTCTTCGTCTGTCTTTAGATACCCAGCTTTAACGGCTTCCTCCTTGGCCCTTGACTCTAAACAATTCTCCACCATTTTGAGAATATTAGCGTGTAAGTTCTCGACGACAAACTCTGCGGCCTTCCTCCCACCATGCCCATCGTAGACGCCAAAGAAGCCCTATAAATTACCAACACAGGATAAGAAAACACGATAATGAAGCAAAAGAAACTCGAGAACAATAATATATAATTGAAGAAGTCCTCTTCTACAGCTATGCATAGCTAACTTTTTTCGGGTTGCTCTCTAAAGAAGAAACAATCTTGTGAGCATCTTCCATGCACAATTTCTTGCCTTTTACAGAAAGAACCCCAAAACCAAGTCCGCTAAAACAAACGTCGTCCTCCAATGCCTTGGAGTCATTGAGCTTGGGTGTCTGGATTTCTTGCAATAAATCTGGGATCAGAATCCTGAGAGGCCTCTTCCTCTTCAAAGATGAAGAATCGTGAGTATCGGGAAAAAATGAAGAATGGGCGGCCATCGCAGGCAGGAAGCCAGGGAAGAACGAAGAGGATAGGCTCTAACGGCTATACAGGGAGTGTTTTGTGAAATACAAGATAATATATTAATGTTGGAAGGCGGTTAGGCTTTGCATGGGTCATCAAAAAGTGAAATGATTTCGCTACTAGCCGTTGGAAGCGACTGGTCAAACGGCTCATTGAACACTCATCCGTTGCCTAAAATTGGATATTTTTGTATTTCACTCTCACCATGCAAGATAATATTATTATTAATATGGGTTATGGGGCCATTTAATTCTTTCTTTATTGGGTCATTATGGGTTGGGTGCCCTCGCCAACTCATGTGCTTCAAGGGCTGCTATTCTTACCGGGCTTCTCTCGAATATTTAATTTATGCGCATCATGTGGCCAAAAATATATGGGCCTTAAGTTTTGAACTCCATGAGGCTCCTAGTCCTATACTGACTATGTATTGTAAAAAAAAAATGAAAATAAAAAAGTAAGTTGTATTTGGTGTTCATGACTCGTGTTCTGACCCAAAAAAAGTATTTACAAGTTATAACTATAAATTAAGAATAAAATAATATTTTATAAATATCATAAACATTATTAAGATTTTAATTATTATTGAAAAAATTAAAAAAATCGACCTCTGTACAATAAATGTTTGCTTTGAGCTTTCGACCATGAGATACGAGCACGCACTGCGGGAATGTGTAAAACAGAATCAAAATCAAAAATTAAATAGAATAGAATTGAATTGAATTTTTGTTATGTGATTTTTACATTCGATTCTTTTTTTTTTGAAAAATTATTTCAGTTGATCAATTTAATTCAATTAATAAAATTTAAAATTAAATAGATTGAACTAACCAAATTATCATATATATATATATAATTTATTAATTTATAAATTATATTTAGTTTATTAATTAGTTTATTTTATTTTATTCTTTTTTATTTTATACTTAAATTTTATATTTAAATAAAAGTAAAAATATAATTTTGATAAATTTAAACTCTATCATTTCATTAAAATATGTTACTATCATTTTACAAGCTCAATTTATATACAAATCCTGTTCATTTTGGTAGGAAAAAAAATAATAAAATTGACTCAAATTTAAATAACTTAACATGAAATTCAAAATCAAACTAACCAATCGAATTGAATTATTAAATTCTGATTCATTTTTATTTAATTCATATTTTTAGTGTTGATTGATTTTATATATTTTAACATTGAACTAACTAATGCTTGCCCCTAGGCACTGGATTAAGAAGAAAAAATTTAAAATTTCATACTTGTGCACCAAGCGTGGAGTAACAACCATTTAAATTATATATACATAACTAAATATAAGGATCACGTTTTTTAAATAACAAGGTGATTGGCCGCGGGGTTTGTGGCGGGCCAGTTGAATTAACTTTCCACAAAGATGGGTAGATGACGGATGTGGTGGGCACCCGGGCAGCGCACACGTGCAACAAAACTATTGGCATACACAGCCACACTCTTGTAATCCCACTTATAAAATATGTTCTAGAAAATATATTTAATTTTATTTATAGGTTATGATATTATTTTTTAAGTAATATTTATAAAATATTTTTAAAATTATTTTTTATGAGAGAGAACAAACAGTATGATATCACTTCTTAAATTTATTATATAATAATGTATTTAAAATTTTATATATTTTTATTTTTTATATTTTTTTATATTAATATTGATAAGGTTTGTTAAAACTGATTTATAAAATGAATAAGAGGAGGACTTGTTTTGCAGAAAACGTAGGCACAATATACGGAGGAATCGCTCCTTGAATTCTAACATTTGATCTCGAATTCAATGGAGTGAACGAACCGAACGTAATTAATCAGCGATATTATGTTTGATTTTTATTGGTAGTGGAGCGAGACCCAACCATTGAATACGTCCACAGAGACGAAGTTGCCTCATCACTCTGAAATGGAAACATAATTAAATGGAAAGCGACGTTGACAAAGAGTCAGGGTGGCGACCGTTGTTCACTGACGTTTGAAAAGTCTATAAATAGCGTTGGAGATATAATAATACTCCAGCGCATCTGTAAATCTATTCCAATTTCCAACATTAGAAATAAATAAACGGTTAAAAGTTTCGTATAGAATCAAAATATAATAAAATTTTGGGATGATTAAGTTTGAGGCCCGCATAATCTGGCTAGTCACTAAACTAAAATTCCAGAATTGGATTAGTTGCGTCACGCATTGAGGGCGCGGACAATTGGTCACGTAAAGGATGCGAGCATTTAGGCTCAACCAAAGCAGAGCCAACGTTTTGAAAGTCTGGGTTAGGCTGAGAAGCCTGTAGCTATATGGGTTCAGGAGATTACCAGGAAAGGAGGGGACCTTTCAACCTTTCTTTGTCCACATAGTTAATGCAGTACGGTGCTTGTGGTTATAGGTCGCAGATCAAGGCATCCAAATTGTTTGGGAGCTGGAAGTCCCTTCGTAATTAAGTTACCTTTCATTTTCATTTTTCTTTCCGGGCCCAGGATTGGCAAATCATAGCATCCGCCTGGTCACCACAAGTTAACTTCTTCCAAATGACTAGTCCCTTTCTTCTTAAAAAAATAACTCTAATCATACAGTTTAACCTAATCCATATAATAATTTGAGATTAATATTAGTTAACTTTGAAATCAAAACTGTTTTTAATCTATATTTTAAAAATTTTGGCCAAATAAAAAATCTGTTTTTAACAAATAAAAATAAAAACAACATTAAGCAAAATTATCTGATATTTTGCTTGAAATAAAAAAGCAGTATATTATTCTGGCATAATGCAGGAGAAGACCATCGATGTTACTCATACTCAGTTGCAAATAATGTTAACTCATTTTGCTCCTTACAATCCCACTTCAGCAAATTAAATTAAATTAAATTAAATTACATCAGTTTCATCTCTTCTGCTCACAACTGACTCACTTGCCAAGTGGTGGAAAAGCTAATCAATTAACCATCCATTAGAGGCCGGGTTGAAAATCCACCTAAATTCACTGAATTCACAATCCACCTAAATTCCTGCTGATAAAACACCACTCCTATTCCCTATATTTCCTTTATTTGTTTGGTAAGGAATTTTAAAGGAAAAAAGGAAAAAAGAAAAAAAGAAGCGAGTCTTGGACTCTGGTCTCCTTAAATTCATTCAAAGCTCGTGTTCCTTCGCCGTTTTTATTTTTCGGAGGAAGGGAATTCCAAAACCAACACAAGAGCACGATCATCTCTTTTGTTTCTTGCCGCTGGTCAAATCTCGAGATCTTGTTTCCTACTGCTCCTATCCCGCCCTTCGGACATTATTCCATTTCGTTATTTGTTTCTCTGGGTTTCGCCGGTAAATTTTTTGTTTACACGGCTTCTTCTATCACCTTTGGTAAGGTCGATCACTGATTCATCGGACCTCAGATTTCTGGCCGTACCCTAGAGTTTTCTTTTCCTCTGATTCTCAGCTTTTCGCCAGAATTTCCTTTGCTGTCAGATCTTGCCTCGGTTTTTAGGGCTATTTCAGGTAAGCTTGCTTTACTTTCTCTGATTATTAACTAACTGGTACTTACGGTGTCTGATTGTTTGCGCTTCCAACGGACACGTAAACAAAATACAAATATGTATGTGAATATGGTTTCTCGTTGTCTGAAATCCGACACCAAAACCATCATCCGTTCGACTAAACCCAACATAATGTTTTATCACGCTTTTAAATGTCGCGAGCTTTGTTTGGAGAGCTCAAAGCATGGGACTTCAGGTTTGAGTTGGAGATGCTGCAACCTGCAAGGTGCAAGCAATCTCTAGTCGCTGCTTTCTTTCGGTTTGCATCTCGTTTTCAGCTCGTTTACTGGCAATTTGAGACTATATATCTCAAGTCGCTAGGTATTGACTATTCATTCCTTCACGCACATATTGTGGGGAGCATTTTTCCTTTCCTTTCCTTTTTTTTCTTTTTTGGGGTCAATGGACTTTGGTTGCTTTATTCAATCACGAAATTCTCTCCAAAAAACCAGATGCAAAACTTAAAGAATCTATCTGAGCTAACTCTGCTGGTTTTGCCGTGGTTTTTCGAATCTTACCGGCGACAACTATTTTGTCTTGCTGGACAACTACTCTTTTTCTTATCTCCTTTTTTAGAAAATAGGAAGAGGGTGGTGTTTGTTATTTTTTAGCATTGGATATAATTAGAAACCGCCACATGGTTGGGTAATTTTCGACTTACGAGGTCAGGAATATCATCGAGTTACCTTGCATTGCATTCTTGTCAGAGAAATGCACATGTATGCCTCCTATAGAGTCACTTACGGAGTTCATCGGGGGAAAAATCACACACTTTTCTTGCTTACAGTACAATCATGTAGTTTGAAGAATGGTTGATTGCTAATCCTAGTTGTTTTGCTATTTCTTGTGGCATATTTATAAGCCTTGCCTTATAGACGTATCCTTCCTCCCAAATTGCCATTTGAGATGTTGGAAAAAATTGATGGGGTTCCAGAACGAAGTCCTACTACACTACTCGGCTTTTGGCACACCTGTCCTGTAGAAAATGAAAATATTTGGAGGATTTCCCCCACACACACACATCTTTACTCTCATAAGATCACTACTGTGGTGCATTTTCTCCTTTTCCTTTTTTTTTTCTTGAAACATTACCTGGTTCCATTGCTTAACTTGTTTATTTCTTTCTTATCTGTAACCTCAGCAGGGCCTGCTTTCTCTTGGTGAGCACCTTTATTTCTTTTATGAAGCGTAAATGCCACTGGCTGGGTGGTGAAGAATAGCTTCTGTGCATATTTTCACAAACACACTGTCAGAAGTTTTGATAAAATGGGGACAACTACTCGCAGGTGTAATTGTTGGAGAAAGTAATTCTATCATTCTGTTTATTGTGAGAAGTTTTGTATGTACTAGTTAAATGCCTATCAACCACAATCGAGTGACATTTGCATCTTGTTGGTTGCAGTTCACCTAATAGAAAACCAAGTGAAAGTATGCGTCTTATTGTAACAACTTTTGTTGGGGTTGTATTTGGCTTCTTTATTGGAGTATCATTTCCAACATTGTCAATAACAAAGGTGCAAATTGAGTTTTTTCTTTCAATTTATTGATGCACCTTATACTTTTGTGATTATTCATGATTTGCAGTAAAAAGCACAATATACTAACGGAGTTAATGTTTTGCAGTTTAATCTTCCATCTGGCCTTCTACCCTCCATTGACCTCTCTTACATTGAAGACAAATATAAGGGTGCCTCTTCTTGGTCATCTGCGAGGAATAACAGCCGCAGCCAATCACATGATCAATCATTAAATGGTACAAAGGTACATATCATGCCATTTCTTTAGCATTATTAATGATGTTCGATGTTAGTGGCTCAATAGAGATTTCTGGAATATTCAGTTTATGTAGTATCTACCTTCTTGATTTGAATCATAACTAGGTCCATAATTTCATCAAAGATTCATGGAAACTATTTACTGGATGGAGATGGAATATGAAAAAAGGACAATAGAGTTAAATGGATGGGCGAAATGAAGTGAATCTTATCCATTGGTTAATTTATATCCGTAGACCCTGTTTGGTATGCAAGCCTAAATTTATAGGGAATGGGATTGGGGCTTTAAAATTATATTTGGTATGGAGTAATAATTGTAGAGAATACTTTCCTTCATTTTATTTTATTAAACATAAATTATAAAAAGACTATAATACCCCTTATAATTAATTAAAAAAATTGCCCTAAAACCCATCTTCTCTTTGTGATGGACTCACAATTGAACCCAACCTTCCTCCCTTTGCCACCAATCAACCTATTTGATGACTCGGAATTTGGAGCAAATGCAGCAACGAAGCTCGTCTGTGATGGATTTGGAAGAAAGACGATGATGATGGATTTGACTATGAAGAAGACAGTGAAGGATTTGGGAGCAAACATAGCAACGGAGCTCATCCGACAACTTGGAACCAGATCTAGACTCTCAAATTGAAGGCAAGCATATTTGAAGGCAAGAAGGCGAGTAGATGCAAGATGTAGTGGTAGAGGACGACAAGAGGTAGACGAAGGGAGAAGGGAGGAAGACGGAGGGAGAAGACTTGAACTAGTGGTAGATGGAGGGAGAAGACTAGTGGTAGATGGAGGGAGAAGGGAGGAAGATAGAGTGGGAAGAATTCAAACTTGAACTTGTCAATGGTGGAGGACGGCGTCATCACTAGGGATGGCCATGGTAGACTTGATTGAGTGAGAAAATAGTGAGGGATGGGGTTGAGGGTGTGAAGATGTGGGTAATTTGGTTTAGAAAAAATCAATCACAGGATTGATTTCTCAATATTGGGGGGTGGTGATATTAGGTAATCCCACTGGGATTAGATGACCCAATGCTCCATACCAAACACAAAAAGTTGGTACTAGCCAATGTCTAATCCCAATCCCAACCCTCCAATCCTTCGTGCCAAACGGGGCCTTAAAGCTTTGTGCACTTGCTGTTAGAGTCTTTAGTCTGGTTCTTCAGACTAAACTTTGAAATCCTCTGAGCAATTGATATGTAGAAAGAGTGATAGGTCTCTACAGTTACTTTGGCACTTCTTTTGATGGCTAACTTCCTGTTAGGAACTAAGCTTTTGGTTTATCTCTAAACACTTTTATCAGCTTCTCTGGTGTGTTCATTATTTGTTTTCTTTAAGGTTTTGCTGAAAAAATTTCTCTCTCAAATGAGGGAAAAGATAATCGGAAATCTCTAGCACATGCTGTTTATGTTACAAAAGAGGCCTTTTGTTACAACAAGTTCCTTGTTTCCATGTTTCTCTACAGATTTGGGTTCCATCAAACCCAAGAGGTGCTGAAAGATTACCTCCTGGAATTGTTGAAGCTGAATCAGACTTGTACTTGCGTAGATTGTGGGGTAAGCCCAGTGAGGTGTGTATCCTAAATCACTTTACATTTGAAATATGGCTTCCATACCCAATTGTCATGAGAAAAACTATTACTTTGTTGTGTGGAAAGCATGTCTTCAGGGTGCATCAAGTTCAAGTTAATCCACGTACTATTGTTTGTTGAACTTGTAAAATTCGTCTGATATTTGGTTGACAATATTATTTGAGCTATCTGCTTACTTCTATAGATATTGACTTGATGAATCTGTCTGTAGAGTAACTCAAGTAGCTTGCTACATGTGTATTTTTCCCGTGGCTTTATTTTCTGCCGTTTATATTTTGAAATTATAACTCTTGGACTGGAGGTACTTCCGATCATCTGATGTTTATGTTTTGAAGTTTTCTGAACTTAGAGCATTTGATTAAGATGCCTTTTGCAGGATTTGACATCCAAGCCAAAGTATTTGGTGACTTTCACTGTTGGCTATGATCAGAAAAAGAATATTGATGCAGCAGTGAAAAAGGTATCTGTGCAAACATGCGCGTGCTTGTTTTAAACTTTGGAGGAATTGTAATAATGTTCTTTTTTGTTTTTCACATTTTCTAAGCAGGCATAAGCAGAATGCTGTATACTTGTGAAAATTTGAAAAATGATTCGGAGTCCAATTTCATAAGTGATATTTTGGATTCCAGAGTCAATTGTCAAACTTTCCAGTACAGCATATATGATTGAGGATTGTTGTTTATCTGACACACTTTTTGGTACCTTTTCACTTAACAATATCCAAACAAGATTTACTCTTCCAAATCAATTCTTCTAAATCTAAATAAATTATTATCTTCCTTTGTGGCTACAAATACTTTGTTCATTTCTCTTGTAACCAAATGTGTTACTTGAACAGTTTTCAGAGAACTTCACGATCCTTCTGTTTCATTATGATGGGCGAACCACAGAATGGGATGAGTTTGAGTGGTCGAAGCAGGCTATTCATGTGAGCGTTCGCAAACAGACAAAATGGTAATAAACGACTTCTGCTCTCAAGCATTGCTCATTGGGCCCTTGGTAGTTAATATTGTCCACAATTGCTAAGCAAGAGTTTGCCTTTTCAATTATGATGTGATACTGATTATTTGATTCCCCCCTCCTAGGTGGTATGCGAAACGATTTCTGCATCCAGATATTGTGGCACCATACGACTACATATTTATATGGGATGAAGACTTGGGGGTTGAGCATTTCAATGCAGAGAAGTGAGTATTTTATATAAAATAAACCCCCCCCAAAAAAAAAAAAGTTTCTACTTTCCCTTGACCGAAGTGTTATGACCATTACGATTGCAGGTACTTAAACCTGGTACGGAAGCATGGCTTGGAGATTTCACAGCCAGGTTTGGAACCTAACAAAGGGCTGACATGGCAGATGACAAAGAGGAGAGGTGATCGTGAAGTTCACAAGTAAGGATGATGGGAATCGTGAATCAGTTTTCTTGTTTTGCGTGTTATGCAACAGAATGTATGATTACTGTTTATATTGTTTTCCTTTTTGAAATAGAGTAACAGAGGAGAAACCAGGATGGTGCACAGACCCTCATCTGCCTCCTTGTGCAGCGTAATTATCTGCTGAAGTCTTATAGGTTTATTATTTGGTCCTACTTGCCTTGTCTCATCCTGTCTTGTGAATGCAGCTTTGTTGAGATTATGGCCCCTGTGTTTTCACGAGATGCATGGCGCTGTGTGTGGCATATGATTCAGGTTTCAACGGTCACTCTATCAAATCCTTTTTTATCTTCTTAATAAATATTACCCTCTTTTTAAGCACAGTTGACTCTCTTTCTAAGCATTTAGTTGTCTCTTAAATAATATACATGATGACTCTGGGTATTGCAGAATGACCTGGTCCATGGGTGGGGTCTTGACTTCGCTCTTAGAAAATGCGTCGAGGTGAGTGGATCCGTCATGCTATTACTTCATCTAATTTATTGACCATTTAATTAGCGTTAAGGGAGGCGCGAAGCAAAAACACAGAGAGAGAGAGAGAGAGAGAGAGAGATGAGAGGAGAGAATTTGCAATTATGAAGTGTGATAGGGTATGGGAACTCAAAACTGATACCCTCTTTTCTCTGATATAGCCTGCCCATGAAAAGATCGGAGTAGTTGATTCTCAGTGGATTATTCACCAAGGCGTTCCCACGCTAGGGAATCAGGTAATATGTTTGTCATGGTTATTTTTGCAAGATTTATCTGATATCATAACAGCTGCAGTATGAAGCTTACAAGCGTTCATGTGCTTGGCAGGGAGAAACGCAAACTGGGAAAGCACCGTGGCAGGGGGTATGTTAAGCAGCATTTATATTTTTGGTTGATCTTGGTGGTTGATTATTATTATCAAGTGCCTCGGATTAATGGGACATATAGTGATCATTTGATTATTATTATTATTATTATTATTATTATTATTAAGGTGTTATGATGGTTGTGTTGGCAGGTGAGGGAGAGGTGTAGAAAGGAGTGGACAATGTTCCAGAGTCGGCTGACTAGCGCGGAAAACGCGTATTACAAGGCCGTTGGTATTGATGTTTCTAATTCGACCGCGCATTGAGGGATGACGACCACAGTGGATATTGTACGCAGACACCGCCACCTGTTGTGCTTGGATTGTTGCGTGACAGTTTTAACAAGCCGTCCTCATATTTGTTTTTTTTTTTTTCAAGTCTGTAATGTTAGTTATGTCAAATCATGAATCAGAGTCCTGCTGACGACAAAAAGATAAATTCATTGTAGAATTCCTTGCTGACAGACAGTGAGTGTATGGATGAAGATAAATAATATAATCATTAGCGTAATGTAATTTCATTTTTGGAGGCTAGAGATGCGCCAGCAGCATAGGGAGTGGAAAGTAAAGTCCAAAGAATTGCTGATTATAATATGATCCCGGGAAAGGGCTGCACTCGGCTCGCTCTAATTCCAAATGTCAAACACCCAGCATCCATTACAGAGTTTTGCCCTATATCCCTGTATAATATTAGTTATAAAATTGTTCCAAAGGTCAGGGCTTATAGGCTGAAGCCAATTGTGAATGAGGTGATTTGACCTTATCAACGTAGCTTCATTCATGGTGGTTAAAGCAGTGATAATATTATTGTTGTACAGGAAGTTGTCTGCTCAAATGAAAAGGTTAGGAAAAAAGGGGGCTGGTTTGATGGCTATCACAGTAGATCTTGAAAAGGGTTGATTGTAATTTTGTATCTCATTTTTTGTGAACTGGGTTTTAATGAAGATCTTTGGAAAGTTTTTTTGGGTTTGCATTACTGCTTTGAATTTCAAAGTCGTGTGGAATAGAGTAGTTTGAAAAAAGTTTTCATTTACAGGGCTTAAGGAGGGTTGCCTCATGTCTTCATAACTTTTTATCTTGTGCATGGAAAAATTAAATCATATTATAGCGGATGCAATGGAGAGGAAGGAATGGGTATTGATAAGAATTGCCAAGGGCCAGATCTCACTCATCTGTTCTTTGTTGATGATCTTGTACTTTTTTGCTAAAGCATCCTCGAAGCAGGTTGGAGTTATTAATGATTATATTCAAAGATTTCGTTATTATTTAAGGTAGAAGATGAACAGAAACAAAACTCGCATATACTTCTCTAAAAATATTCATATCAATAGAGCATTGGGGTTAAGTAACAAATTGCAAGTTAAGTTGAGTGGGGATCTTGGCAAGCGCTTAGAGATCTCATTGATACACCAAAAGGCTTCTTCTAGTTTATTTGCTCCTATTCTGGATAAAGCTAGAATCATATGTCAGGATAGAAGAAAATAAATCTAGATACGGTTGGTAGAGCAATTCTTATAAAATCAATTATCTCTGCAATGCCTAGTTATTATATGGAGACATTGTTGCTTCCCAAAAAAATTGATTTATCAGATAGAGAAAGAATGTTGCAACTTCTTGTCAGGTGACACTGATGAGAGTAAATAATTGCACTTGCTTGCATGGAAGTATGTCATTGAAGAAGAGAGGGGGCTTGGGTATTAAAGATCTCAGTACTCAAAATAGAGCATTTATTTTCAAGTTTCGTTGGAAACTCCTAACTAATGACAAAGTCCTTATGGGTTCAAGTTCTCAAGTCAAAGTTCAAGTGTGGTGTTGATGTGGTCCCAAAGGTTAAGAAAAAGGCTAATGCTTCATTGACCTGGAGGGGTGTTATTAAATGTTGGAAGAGCTTTTCTAAAGGAGTGGGAAAAAGAATTGGTAATGGCCGTAGTACTAAGTTTTGGATTGCTTCGTGGACATCCCTTGATGTTTCTCTTACTCGCCTTGCTATAGGAAACACGTATGATGCTGAAGCTCGTGTGAATGAGTTTGCTTCTAAAAACCATGGCCAAAATATTGAAAGAATGAAGGCTCGGCTACCTAGCAACATTATTAACAGCATTGCTTGTTCTCATTTCCCGAGAGTTGAGAGAGGAGAGGATTCCTTTTTATGGAAACCATCTTCATATGGTAATTTTAATGTTTCTTCTGCCTATAGATTTCTTGTTGCAGGTACAGGATCGGTAAATGGAGAGATTTGGAGTAAAATTTGGTGTTGGATTAGCCCAAAGAAAATTAAGATTCATCTATGGCTTGTAGCTCAAGGTAGATTACACATAGCTGCATTGAGGTTACATAAAGGACTTGGGGAGTCAAACAAGTGTCTGTTGGGATGTAACCAAAAGGAAGACACAAAGCATCTACTAAGAGATTGTCTAAGAGCAGAGGAATAATGGAAGAGTCTGGTCAAAGTAGAGATATGGAATATATTAAAGAGGCTGGGTGGAGCAGAATAGGTTTTATGGAATTTGAAGCATTCTGATGGAAAAGAGAAGACAAACCATTTACCTCTGAATGTTTTGTTAGGGTATGCATGCTGGGATTTATGGTGCTTTAAATGTAAAAAACTTCGTTCAATGGATGAGGAGATGGAGGTCAAACAAAATTTGAATATTATCTAGAGAGTATCAACTGATATAAAATTCTTAAGTTTATCATCTATTACATGATGAATAGTCATTGGTTAAAATAAAAAGATACTATTGTTAGGTTTGATGTAGATGATTTGTACAGAGAGATCATTTATAGATGTTGTAGTGTGGTAAGAAATAATGAAAATGATTGGGTCATTAGTTTCAATTCAAATGTGAAAAGTTTTCTCCCTACTATCACTAAAATTATTGTTATTATCCAAGGCTTGAAACTTTGCTCACAAATCGGATGTGTTTAGAATTGTGGTGAAGCAATGAATCCTCTTGCTCAAATTTAGCAACTCATCCTTTTAGTGACATAATTGAGCATGTTAGGTTTTCTTTATGTAATAGCAGGTATAATTCTCTGTCCTTTATATTTAAAGAGGAAAATGCTTGTGCTCATTTGTTAGCCACACATGACTTTGATGCTTTAAGGTCTTTTATTTATTTTGATCAAACTCCACCTTATCGTTAGAAGGTGGGATATGACGATAATAGGTGTTCCTCTTCTATCTATGACCCTTGACTGGATAATGGCATCACTCCAAATTCCCAAAAAAAAAGAAAGAAAGAAAGAAAAATTTACTGATGTTTTTGAGAAAGGTTACATCTGCGTCATTGGAAAGGAAGAGGATAAGGTGGATGGAAGAAAAGGATGGGTCAAATCAGTTCAAGTATGGCTCACCCTAGAGGTGACATGTACAATTTCCTCCGGGCGAACCAAAAAGAGACAAAGAAAGGCGAGTCATTTCCAAAAGCCTGTGTTGTGATTTTTCTACGTCGAATCTCGGCCGTTCATGTGTGATGGCAGTTCATCGCATCTCCCGACAACGGAGAACTTTCTGGAGTCTCTCCTAAAGGGATTCCATGTGTAGTGCCTCGACTAAAATTAAAATCTATTCCTTTTCGAATTAGTTTCGCGTCTTCAAGTTCAAGGAAGGCGCACGCCTTGACACATGATTTGATCTCCTAATCTCTTGTGGTTACAATCTGCCCAAGAGTGCACCTCTCTCATCTCATATTCGGACGTATGCTTACTGCATTTAAAAAAAAAAAAATTGCAAATGCACTGAATCACTGCTTGAAAAAAAAGTTTATGGATAGGAGGCGAGATTTGAGTTTAAGGATTATATAACAGTTATATACAATAACTACTATATAATTTTTGAGTCTGCATAGTAGTTAAAATCAAGATCTAATATTTAGTATATCTTTTTTTTTTATTTTTTTGAGAGACTATTTAACAATTATTTTAAAATAACTGCTAAATAATTTTAAAATTATATAACAATTATTTTAAGTAACTGTTAATTGTTAAATAACTTAATTATTTTTTTAAATCAAAAAATTATATAGCAGTTATTATAAATTAATTGATATATAGTCTGAGATTATTCGGCAATTATTTTAAAATAATTGTTAAATAATTCTATTTAAAACTTTTCAACCGTCTTCAAATTTCATATGTAGTTGGTTTTGAAAGAAAAAAAATTGAAAACACCCTTCTCTCCCAAAAAACATCTCCCCTTTTTTATGAAATCTCTTCCAATCACATCCTGAATCCTTTTTTTGGGCACGTCACCGCCGTTGAACGCTTGAAAAATATCATCACTGTCGCTATTGGTCATCGTCGTCATTTTTGTTTGTTTAGTGGTGGATCTCACTTCTATTGTGATTCTCTTATCTTAGGTTGGCATTTCTCTCCCTTCCCTCATTAATTCTTATTTGGTGGGTGGTTTAATTATCTTTTTCCGTCATTTGCATATTGGGTGTCTTTATTTTAATTATTCTATGACTCTATACTTGTGCATTATGTATGCCTTCCATTGTGCTTTCCTTCTGTGTGACTTGAAGGTTGTGGTGGCTATCCTGAAAGCTGCATTGAAAGCATGGTGGTTACCCCAAAAGTCCTATCTAAGGTTTAAAATGTTCAAGCAACCCCCTCCACAAGGCACCATGACATGTTGGATCATTATGCAAAATTCGATGATAGCATAATGGTGTGGTTTGAGAAGAAAATTTATGATAGTGTCAGCACTTAGGATAGCATCAATAATGAGATTGCAGGAGAGGTACAACCAAATAACTGCTATATGGACACAATTATTTAGCGGCTATTTCAAACAAAAAAAAACTGTTAAATAGTTTCTGAACAAGCAGGTGAAAATTGATCAAAATTGGACAAAATTATTTAACAAATTTTTTTAAATAACTGTTCAATATTGTGCAACTATTTAGCAGTTATTTTAAAAAAATCGTTATATGTTTATTGAATGGTTCATTGAAACCAAAACTAAAAAAATTTATTCAATGTTTTTTTTGTTGTTGTAAACAACCACCATGTATACCTCAATTATAGTAGTCCCTATATTTAGATGGGGCCTGAATATATAGTCATTAAAATCATTATATATCGATAAAAATAACTGTTATGTAGAACATTGTTTTAGTATTAAATGGATTCGAGCTTGTAAGAAAACTGTTGCATGCATCCGTTTCATCCAACCAAAAATAAGTGATAATCTGGGTGTTCCAAAACCAAAATGGAGTAATATGGAATGTGAACAGAGATACAAGAGATTAGAATATGAAATATCGTCAAAATTATTCATATTAAGAGATATTTAGTTCGTTTGAAAAAATATATTTTATTTTGATCCCATCCGTCTAAATGTGTATTTCACTAGATAGATATTCAATTAAAATGATAAACTAGGAAATAATAAAAGTTATGAGCTATAATAATTCTCCGTGTAATTTCTTTTTTCCGCTTTTTCGTAAATGATTTTACATAAAAAATTTAATTTAATTTAATTAGTACTTCTCCGCGAGCGTTTTAAATATCAAACTTATCCATAAATTAAATGAGAAATGACGTCGATGATATCATTTAATTAAGGTCCTGCGTGTCAACCAAATGGCAAGGGAGCATAGATTTTGATTTGCGTCGGGGCGTTGAGATATGACAGAGTCGAAGGTGTTGGAGCCTTCCGGCTGTCTAATTGCATATTAGAAATAATTAAAGATGGTCCATTTGACAATGGACAGCGAAGACGAATGTCTAAAGAAGCTATTTTGTCTCCAAATATCTAGTTAATATGAATATGGCTGGGAATCCAATATATCCATATCCAGCGTATGATGAGTGTAAATATTCGAGCAACATGATCATTTAGATAAATTGACAATCCAAGTAAGTGGGATGATGAAGGAAGGAAAGGAAGACAGAAGATGAAGAGAGAGATCAGGAAAGTTCCAAAATGGGGAAACAAGGGAGCGGTGAGGATGGATGCCAGCAGGCAACATCAGTGTGGCGGCCGGGGTGCCCCATCGCATTCTTCGCCACGTGTTAACACTTCCTCCGTGTCCGCCATCCTCTCCCTTATTTATATCTCTCAGCCATCTGCTGAGAATCAATGTATCAACGCCGTGGGGCTGCTTCCGGTGCTGGTCATCAACACCGTCGTACCAGTGGCTCTCCTGAAGAACATCCTCAGGTCTCTTCTCCAACTGGTCGGTGCCGCCTGTGCCTATTCTACTGACCCTGACGACGATGACCAATGCTCTGTTGCCAGAAGGAGGGTGTCCATTACTCAGTACAAGTTCATGACTGACTCCGCCATGGCGGACTGCTGCGTCTGTCTGTGTGCTTTCCAAGGCAGCGAAGAGGTGAGTGAGCTGTCTGGCGAGCATTTCTTTCACACAGCTTGCTTGGACAAGTGGTTCCTTAACAGACACACCACGTGCCCTCTCTGTCGTTCCGCTTCTTAGCTCACCCTTCTGTCTCTGTATTTCACGTCTAGCTTTTCAAACGACATTACACCAACTTGCGAGACTGTCGATCGCTTCTGGTTTGTTTTCCATGTGCATCTCTAATCCTCAACAAATTACCATGCTTAGGACTATGAGTCGTTGCGAGTGGGTCTCAGCTACCTCGTCTCAATACGTACTTCCTCATTCTGTGTGAAGAATGCTGATTATTTTAGGATTTGAATATTTAGAAAATGTCACCGTAGTAAAACGCAACCTTTGTGATGTTTAACCGTGATGCCGCTGTGTTTTATCTAATTAGTAGCTGAAAGCAACTCTTCTTTCCATTTGTAAGGTTCAATTTTTGGATTAATATTTCATTTTACTAAAATTAGTTTTAAATCACCCAAACAGATAAACATGAAAAGTATATCTGGAGAAAATCTCATTGGGTCTTCGAGCATCTAATTGGTGGCTACATACATGAAGAGAAGTAGAATTATTACATGTTACGCTGATCCTATAATAACAAAATTCTTTGTTTTACCCGAAACATGGACAGTACAGTGCCGCAATAAAATTAAAGGTACTCGCATAAATGCCTAAAAGCTTTCCTTGCGGTCGTGCAAATGAGTGGTCTCTATCTTCTTACCTCATATAACTGCATGATAAGACTCCAACTCGCGCATGATCTATCATCACTCCAATATCTTAGCTATTTATAAAATAGTGTTAATCACTTAATGATACAGTGATGTTTAATAATTCTTCCGTAAACATTATGCACATGACAAAAAAAATATTATGTTGGAAGTAGTGGAAATTAAAATAAATATTGAAATTAAATGACATCGTTGGTATACAAAAATGTTAAATTCCCCCTACTCTTTGAAAAGATAATTCATTGAGAAATGAGCAGGTTTATAGAAAAAGGTCAGGAATAAATATGGATATTGATACATAAAATAATATTAATATTATAATATAAAATTTTTGAGAAGTTATATTAATCATGACTAATGAATAATACTAACCTCCGTTTTAAATTATAAAATATTTTTTTAAAAAAATTCAATGTCTTAAAATATAAGGCATTTAAAATAAAATTTAATGATGGTTCTTTCAATATTACCCTTTCCATTATATTATCTTTTCAATATTTTTTAAATAAAGTATTAAATAAAAAATATTTTTAAAATTTATATTTTTATATAAAAAATAAAATTATTAAATATATTTAATGAGTTTTATTTATAATTTGAGATAGTGAGAGTATAATTTGTTTTGAAGTTTGTGTAAATACACGTGGTTCAAAACATAGGATAAATCCAATAGATCATCCTAAGAGCCAACTCTACGAAACTTCATCCTCATAAATCGTAACAATTTTTCAAAGAAATTAATCGATGTGCTGACCTTATGGTACACAAGACATCATTGGATAATTTCGATATTTGTCTTTTTGATATTCTGCCAATTAATTGTATAAGCTTTATGGCTTCTGATCTTACCTAATTCCGATCTTTGTACGGTTTTACCATAGCCTTATATTTAAAAAGAATAAATTATAACAGTTGGCTGTTTGTTGAAGATTCCCCAAGGCCCATCTTTGGTTGGGGGATGCCTCAGTTGTTGTTCATATCATCATCATGATTATTGATGAACAAGATGATTTAGCTTTTATTTTTTTAATTATGATTGAAAAAATCAAAACTTTTATCTTTCCCATATAATTAATGACAGAAAAAAAAGCTTTTATAAAACCCTTTTCTTTTTATCTCTCGCTGTTGCGGACAATTTTGGAAGTATTTTTTATTTTAAAATATAAAAAATTTAATAAAAATAAGATTTTATTGACAACATCTTTTTAATAATATTACCCTTCAAGTGAAAACAAATTAAAATAATTATAGCATAGTAGTGATCAATTGTGAGAAAGAGTGATTGAGTATAAGTTAAAATTAGATATTAGTATTTTGATAATCAGTTTGACTTCATGCTAAGTAGGTAACTACAGAAGCAATTTGGTATTAATGAAAAAATATTAATGCAAAGATAAAAATTATACATGATTTTTATTAATTTAAAAAAAGATTATGATCATGTATTGAGAAAAGTACTTTGGAAAACTTTGAAAAAGAAAAGAGTTTAGGTTACCTATATTAAAGCCATTAAATATATGTATGAGGGGACAACAATTTGTATAAAAATATTTGGCAGTGAAACAAAAAACTTTTTTATAAAGATTGAACTACATTAGGGATCATTTCTAAGCCCTTATTTATTTGACATAGTTCTAGATGTTTTGATTGAACATATTTTAGAGAAAATCCCTAAATACATGATTTTCGTGGATAATATAGTTCATATTACAAGGACAAGAGAAGTGATTAACTGTAAATTTAAGTTATGAAAGAGGACATTGGAGTTAAAAAAAATTTGCCTAAATAAGAGTAAGACATAATATTTATTTACATTGTAATTTTGATAAAATATTAGTTGGTAATAATTTGAAAGTGAAATTGAAATATTAAATTATATCTCAAGTAGAAAAGTTTAAATATTTGAAAACTATTATTCAACATGATGGATAAATTGAAGGGGATATTATACATAGGATATAACTTGAGTGGTTTAAGTGAAAAAAGGTTAAAGGAATTATTTGCAATCATAAGGCACTTAATAAATTTAAAGAAAAGCTTTATCAAACTGTTACAAGACTAACTATATTATATGATAATGAATGTTGGGTTTTAATGAAACAGTAAGAGCATAAAACTAGAGTAACAGAGATGAGAATGTTAATATGAATGTGTGGATATATATGTAAAGATAAAATCTAAAATAAGCATATACATAAAAATGTTGGCGTAACACTTATTGAAAAGAAAATGATAGAAAATCATTTGAGATGATTTAAATATATACAAAGAAGAGAGTAGGAGGCACTAGTCAAGAGGGTGGAACATGTAACTTTGAGCTAGTAAATGAAGGCCAAATAAAACATTTAATAAACTTAAAAGAAATTTTTATCAAACTACTATAAGATCAGCTATATTTTATGATAGTTGGGCTTTAACGGGATAACAATAGCATGAAGTTGAAATAGCAGGAATGAGAATGTTGGGATAAATGTACAAATATATATGTAAAGATAAACTTCAAAATGAGTACATATGTGAAAAAGTTAGTGTAGCACCTATTGAGGAGAAAATGGTAAAATAATTGTTTGAGATGGTTTGCATATGTATAAAGAAAACCGCAAGAGGCACCGATGGGTAAAGTGAAACATATAATTTTGAGCCAATAAAAAAAGGCCAAATAAAACACTTAATACACTTAAAGGGAAGTTTTATCAAATTGTTATAAGACCAACTACGTTATATGATAGTGAATGTTGGATTTTAACAAAATAGTAAAAACATAAAGTTGTAGTTGTAAAAATAAGAATGTTAAGATGAATGTGCTGATATATATGTAAAGATAAAATTCAAAATAAGCACATACATGAAAAAGTTGGCGTAGCACCTATTGAGGAAAAAATTGATAGAAAATCATTTAAGATAGTTTAGATATATACAAAGAAGACCACAGGAGTCACCAATGAGAAAGGTGAAATATATAACTTTGAGCCAATAAAGGAAGGCCAAATAAAATACTTAATAATATTAAAGAAAAGTTTTATCAAACAACTATGAGACCATTTATATTGTATAGTAGTGAATGTTAGGCCTTAATAGGATAGTAAAAGCACAAAGTTGAAATAACATAGATGAGAATGTTGAAATGAATATGTGAATATACATATAAAGATAAAATTTAAAATGAGCACATATGTGAAAAAAGTTAGTGTAACACTTATGGAGGAAAAAACGATAAAAAATTGTTTGAGATGATTTAAACATATAAACAGAAGACCACAAAAGATATTAGTGAGGAGAGTGAAATATATAACTTTAAATAGTAAAGGAAGGCCAAATAAAACACTTTTCAAAGTTATTGACCAAAATCTTAGTCAACAAAATTTTCAAAAGCTTGATGTATGATAGACCACAATGGTATTATACAATTCATATATACAATCCCACCTAATTAGATAATGTTTGTTGTTGCTACTGTGTTGTAGTGATCAATTGTGTATGTTTAAAATTATATCAAATAAAAAGCATTTCTAAAAGTTTATATTTTTTTTGAAAAAAAAATTTATGAAGTGTTGTTATTAAAATTTATGGATATATGTAATTGACATGTATAATCCTGGTTCAAATTATAACTTAGAAGGAAGGAGTACTATACACACACATGCATCTTCCCTGAAACATATTCTTGTTTTGAGCTTTGGGACGTGGAACGAAACGCGCCCTATTTACTTCAAGCCCAGAATTTTCTTTGGTTCAATCATCAAAACATGGTTGGCTTGCGCGGAATTGCCTTCTCATATGTTTCCATCTCATAAGATGGAGAGGAACACTGGCCACCTTATTCAACACGCCTGCTTCAACTGCCCGATCTCGTTGATGTCGACTAGCTCTCTCTCTCTCTCTCTCTCTCTCTCTCTGTGTGTGTGCAAAGATGTCGACAAGCTCTCTTAAACTAGTCATTCTAATATTAATATTGATCATATTTTACATTATAAAAGACAAAGGAGGACCTTGTGTTATGTTTGGAAACCAGGATAATTAAGATTTAAATCTTTGTCTAAAAAACTAGTCGTTGAATACATTTGGAAAGCGACATGCAAAACTGCAAATGCTACCGGGAAAAGAGATTTCAATTCCATCAGCAAAGCGTTCGAGACCCACCCAAAAAAAAAAAAACAAACAAACAAACAAACAAACTACTCTATGGGGCTAATAAAACTTCAACAAGTACCACAGCACAGAGCATCTGGCTTAAATAATTTCTATTATGAAGCTGCAATCCTCTGCGGTAAGAAAGGTACAAGTAGAAGCCATTTTACAATAGTCACACAAGAGGTATCGGCAAAACACACTACAACAGATGACGACCCGTAGCAATGGAAATTCTCCGGATAACAGTAAAGTGAGGGTTTGCTGCATTATTTTATGGGGAATTAGGGAACTGAGAGCTTATTTATACAGTCGCGGCAGGATGAATCCCACGAGTGAGGATCAGAAGGGCCTCATGGACATTAGCTTGGTTAAGCAGATCCTCCTGTGCTCTAGCTGAATGAAGGTCTCGGCCTCTTGGTCCACGTCCTCGTTACTATTATGAGCTCTGTGCCTCAAACGATCAAGAGCCCTCTCTGTCTCTGCCAAACTCGACGCTTCTACTTCTGCAACGCCCTCCTCCTTGTTGCTCTTCAATCCCACCTGATGAGAACGAGGACTATAATGGCTCCTTCTCGCCTCTGCCTCTCCTACGCCCTCGTACTCGTAGTCCTGGTAATCGCTGGCTGGGCTCCGCTCGTACACCTGACGATGGTGATGGTTTCTCCTCTGGCGATTGTTGCTGTGATATGCCATTTTGATATTAATCTTGGAGGTGCTCTGTCTGATTAGATTATGGAGATTTATCATGTTTTTACCCATTTATTTATAGTTTACATGTACAGCTAGGCTTTCTGTATTATCCCTTATGATAAGAGTGAATCTAATACCTCTCCCGTTTGGCCAAAACTTTGAACAAAAAGAAAAGCCACCACCTTTGTTGAATTCAATGGAGACGGCGATTCGTTTCTCCTTCTACTTCTCTGCCACAAGGAGAAATCAGACGTTTACTTTCTAGCTTCTGGGGAATATAAAGGTGCCCCTGTTTCTCGATTCATTGATTTGAAAAAAATGATTGGGGCAATTTTATGTGGACAGTCAAATCCTTGAAGTGTAAAATAAGGATTAAATCGCCAACAGCATTTGGCACATGTAGTGAATGAAGTCCTCCAAGAAATACTCTCGTCATAAGAATTTTATTTGGCAGAAATCCCTTCTTATCCCCAGAGCGCAGTAATCCTAAGGGTTTCGTAGCCACTCTTTTTTCAACAATCCTTGTCACGAAAAGGGTGGGATATCAATTAAGAACTGCTGAAAAACTTTCATATTAATGAAGGATTATTTGTTGTCAAAATTAAAATGAATATATGTTAATTTTTTTATTCTTTTATCAATAAGTATATATTCAGATTTTAACAATAACCAATTTAAATTAATGACAGTCCATTTGGATTTTGATAACAACTAATTATTAATTTATATAAATTTTTTTTAACAGTCCTTTATTGCTATTTTTCAAAAAAGAAAAAAAATCTTAAATAAAGCATCAGTTAAAAATTTAAACTTGCCAGAAATCCAAAATAACTGAAGGCTAAGTAATTTCTTTAGCTAACGTCACTTTTTTCCTAATATCCTATTTAATTTTATGTAGAAACATAATCTTAATCACGTTAAACTAACTCAAGCGATTGGATGAATGAGGTTTATGACTTATCCATATACAAACCTCAGTACAAGAAAAAGAGAATAATCTGCAGATGTTATTATCAAATGCCCCACTAGAGCACATTTTTTATTGATTAGCATGATAAGATAGATATTACATGGACTTGGTGACAAGCACGATCAAGTGAAAGTTTATTAGATTCTGAAACAAAGCAAGTAAGAACACATTTTACGGTGATAGTGGGATTGATGAAGATGACGTGCTAGACACCCTTCACTTCCCACTCAACCTTGTGAAACCTATTGTTCATGTTCCCAGCATAAGGGTTAGCACAGAAGCCATCACCGCCACCCCAGTTGTGGTGCTTGTATCTCATTTCATCCACCTTCACGTTTTCTGCATCGCCATGCATGTCATATCTATTTACCTCCGAGAAATGTCCAGGTCCATGCCCTTGGTGGTGCGGGTGCTTTGACCTGTTTGAAAACATAGGAGCCCCTCCAAAAGAGAGCTTATGGGCGTCGGAGAAATGGCCATGGTGGCCAGTGGAACCATGGTGGCCTTCCTTGAATATGCCCAGGTGTCTCTGGAAGTCACGAGAATCAATACAAGCACCATTTGTCATTTGCATTCCTGGGAAGTGGTTGTGATGGCCGTTCCTTGAGCTCCAAGTCTCCTGATGAACCTCATAGCTCTCCTCTTGAGCCTCACTACCATAATATTGGTGCTGTTGAAACCCATGGCTTCTCTGCATCTGCATTTTCTCGCTGGATATTATCAGTGGTGGATCGGGATGCTGAATTCCTATCAAATGTGTGCCTTTTATAGGCGTGGTTAGTAATTTGTTATCAATGCGCATCATTTTTAAATTTGGCCCTGTCTCGTCAGGCATATATTTCACACTCCAGTGCTGTGCGTGTTCATTATTTTAAACGAATGGACAGTAGACGATCGCTCTGTATTATTCCCCTTGGCTTTAATGCTTGAAAATAATAATTGAACAATGGTGACCTTGCAAGCTAGCAACTGCAGGAGAGGCATCATATTCCGTATGATGTGTGAATCATATTCTTCCACTTTGATTGAGAAAGCTGAGTATGTGCACCAGGCACAATGACTAATCTCAGCCCCATCGCGGCTGTGTGCTGATATTTACTAAAAAATAATGTTTTTAAAACCGAATCGGATATTAAACCGAAAAGATTAACGGTTCACAGTTTGCATGGTCTAACGGTCGAACCCATGACGTAATAATTAAATTAAAAAATTATATATATATATATATATATATAATAATTAGAAATAAATATGAAATTATTACTTAACTTAAAAATAAAATTAAATATTTTAAGTTTATCATGACTTAATAAATCACATAATGCAATATAACATCAATGATTAAAAAATTGCTCATTTTTAACAAAATTGACAAAAATAAAAAAAGGGCATTTTTTGATTAGTTTGGTTTTTAAAAATTGAAACAGGTTCCCGACTTAATTTCGGTTCCCAATTTAACCACAGTTCAAAGCTACCCAATCAGGCCCAACTTCCCAAGCAATTTTTTGGCTTGACCAAACCGTTAACCTGAGTGGTCGACGATCCAACCTATCCGACTGTTCAGTTTGATTTTTAAATCATTGCTAAAAAGGAAATATAACTAGGGAAAATGACAAAAAAAATTTAAAAGGAGCAATTAATTAAAGTTAAGTTCTAAGTGTCAAATTTTAAGAATTTACAACTTAATGTCTCAATTTTGTAACTTCGTTATGATAAATTTGTAACTTATATTTTAAATTTTAACAGAAAAAATAATTTTTTTGTTAAAATTTAAAAAATAAGTTATAAATTTATTATAACGTAATTGTAAAATTAAGAAATTGAATTACAAATTTTTTAAATTTGACATTTAAAACCTAACTTTAATTAACCATTTTGAGACTTCTTTATTCTTCTCCCAATATTACTTATCTTTGTATGCCATTGATAAAAAATGGAACGCTCTGATTTGATATATAATCCTTGCATGCAAAGAATTTTATCCGCCGGTAGATATGATAATTCTTCCTTTTTAAGAACAAAAAATGAGAAAATTAAAGATCCTTTCTTCCGGCATTATTTCAGTGGCTGAAATGAGTTAACATGCAGAGCCCTGAGATTAGATTAGTTGCTAGAAGCACGATTCTTTCCTATACGATCACTTCCATCAAAACCTACTAACTAAATCACTGGTTATGTTCTGCAGAAACTCTTATGCTCCGGGCATTGTTTTTCATCTTAAATCCCAATTAATAAAATGGAAAATAAAAAACCCAAGACTGAAGCTCACAAAAAGAGATCCATGCTGAACCTTGCTCCCAACATCTCGTTAAGCGACTGCGACCCTACTGGTAAAATGGACACGTCTTAATGCAAATGAACTTTGGTCCAGTGAAAATTCTCCTAATTCTAACTATGACAGCAACCGTAACATTTCATGCATTGCAGGAAAATTCTAAACCACAAAATCAAAACTATGGAGGTCTTTTGTGATTGTGTGAATGCTATTTTGCTAATAATATGGAACAATCATAATTATCATCCTTTCTTTGATATCATTTATACGACTAGACTGCTTTTACATAGACATTGGTCCGTCAATTTTAATTGTGTTTAAAGAGAAGAATAGGATGGCTGATTTCATTCTTAAGTAAGCTCATAATTCTACTTTTGATGTATGCTTTTTTGATACCCCACCCTTTTAGTTAGTTTTCGTTGGGTGGTTGGCTTGATTTATTTGGCTTCTCTTTGGCGCCTGCCTTTGTAGTTCTGTATGTATCCTAATTCTGTTAAATGTTAGCTTCCCTTGATATTAAAAAAAAAAAAAATCTAAACCACGTAATCAGATATAAGACACGCATATACAACATATAAATGTTCAGCATCAATTAGGCAAAAAAATTAATAAATAAGTAAATTTGTCTCCGAAACAAAACCGCCCAAAGGGGAAAAGGTGCTGAACTTAATAGAGTAAAACTATACTATGTATCTCCCGGGGATAAGCCACGAACAATAGAGTAAAACACAAGACAGTGCTCCCCGACTCTAAATTATGTACAGAGTCCCCAACCCCAAGAACCAAAGAATTTGTCAGAACTCTCAATGAACTCTAAAAAATTATCACGAGTGGCACCAGGTCATCAATACTTCTGTTAAAACCCCAATGAAAAGTCCCAAAAGCTACACGAGCCATAAGATTCACAACAGGCAGGTATCACAAACTCCTTCCCAAATCCCAAGATCAACGGCCCTCCCTTATACAATTTCCAGGCAGGAGAAATTTATACTTCTCAGCATTCTCCAGAAGGTAAGCAGGAAGATGAACAGCAGAATAGGAATGGGGTATTGGTCCCATTTTACTGATGATTTCCTTGAAGGTGTACTCCTCCGGAAGCATGTCAAATAGATCTTCCCCCTTGCATATTATTTCCTGAATTCTTTTGGGATCCAAATAATGAGAGAACCTCACTCTATCATAATGGCTATAAGCTTTCATCTTAAAAACAAAATCACTGATTCGGGGAAAACAAAAGCTACAATGCCAACCAGAATCTGCCAATAGGTCATCAGACTGGCGATAATGTGCATACCTTGTCTTGCCACTCTGGTATCTGTGCACTGAAGCCCTCCAGCTCTTATCATCCACATGAAACTCAAAAGAATAAAGATAATTCTTCAGCTGAAGATGAAGAATCGAAGGTATGTCATCACACCACCTCAAGAGATTGATAGTGTGAGCACTTGGTATCTCATCAACATCAGACATGATCAACAAGTCATCATCCGAAATACCAGCTATTTTAAGGAGCTGATCCAATGCTACTCGCTGATAAGCCTCCTCAATAAATGGGTTTTCGCCTTTCTTAAATCTCCCACCAACAGTCCCATAAGTTAACCGAGGCTCAACAAATCTAAACTGCTCCCTGTTGCTACTAAAAACCAGAGGTTTAGGCAATCCAGTGAATGTAGAATTTGACTCAAGGAGAACAAATTCTGATACATATGGGTACAGTTCCCTCCAGCGTAAGGTAAGCAACTCCAACTCATTACTGAACAACACGGCATCATAAACTCGTCTTGGGTACTCACGAATTCCCCAGCCATGAAGTCTGCAAAGGCTCTCCATTGTCACATTTTCATTATAGTAGTGTGGGATGACATTGAAAGGCTTGGGTGGTTTTTCCCACAGTGGCCGCAGAAAGTAAGAGATTTTCTGCCCATGAATGTAGATCCCCAAGATGCACATCGGGACAACAGCAAAAAGAAATATGTAGGTTTTTACATCAAAGCCACGCAAAATGCACCGGATTCTTGTCATGCCTGAAACTTGACTTGATTCCTGCATATTAAAACAAACATACAAGAAAATCAGTACACCTTTACCAAATGAAAGACCATGAAAATAACTTGAAATTTCTGCAAACAAATTAATTCATAACAAAAATTCCAACACTCTGTCCATTATATTAATTAATCAAACAAAATAGATATAATTAAGAAGTTAATGGTAGAAAATCGATTGAGATGGTTTGGGCATGTACAAAGAAGACCAAGGGAGGCACCAGTGAGAAGAGTGGAACATATAACTTTGAGTCCGATTAAGAGAGGTAGAGGAAAGCCTAAGAGAACAGTCTTGGAAGTTGTTGAACGTGATCTCTTAATTAATAATATTCCTAAAAGCTTGATAAATGATAGAGCACAATGGCGTCTTGCAATCCATGTAGCCAACCCCACCTAGTGGGATAAAGGCTTGTTGTTGTTGTTGTTGTTGTTGTTGTTGTAAGAAGTTTTCTGTAGACAAGAGGATAGATTAAAGGTAATTTTAATCACAAAGCCTGAGCTGCATTATGAAGAGATTTGAGGCATGCAACAACGACAACGACCACAAAACCAAAATTCATCTCGTAAATGTGAAGATTATTTTGCAGCCACTCTAATTCCATTAGCAATAACACATCTCTGCCTCCCCCACAAAAAAGGAAAAGAGGGGGAGAAAAGTAGGAAACAATGCTTTTTGTGTGTATTTTTGCCGTTCACCACATTACATACGAAATAGTCAAGTAGAGTGCTAAAAATAGATCAGCCAGAGGTTAAACACAATTTTTTTTTAAAAAAAAAGAGCTTCCTAATTCTAATAACAGACATGTTGAGATCACCGTCCATATCCACACGGAGAAGAAGAGCAACTCTAAAAAGATATGGCCTTGATCAGCCACCGACAGATTACTCTGCATTCATGGGTGTCTGACTCAATATCGAACTATCTACCAACGAAATTCAATCCCAGATAAGACAGTAAAGGCCATGATTTCTATGGAGCGCGAGTTGAAGTAGTGAATTAGAATGATAAAAGATCCAGATAACCATCCAATTTGGTTATTTCTAAGAAACCAAAGACACCCAGAATAAAAGAACCAAGTAATTAAAAGGATAAAAGGAAGAATAGGAAAAACAAAGGGAAGATCGATGTATTTAGGAAAAGCATACAAACTGAGAAAGTAACACAAAAAGTACAAGATACCTGGCCACAAACATCGCCGCACAAATCATCGGTCTTCTTAGGGCAGTATTGTCCTCCAGATTCTCCCATCATCCACCACATTTTTCCGTTTATTCTAATAGGCGCGAGTCCGATGCTATCCGCGACCCAATAAAAACAGATCAAGCTTCGACCAAAAATTACCAGAACGTTCGATCGTTGCTCCGTAACCGATAACGCTGTGTAATGCGTATCCAGATTCGATCCCGTTAACTTCCCCAAATAGAGAAGCACAAACCCTTCGCAAAAACTATTCAAAACAAAACGGTACTAGGGATTGCCTTATAGACGCAGAATGCGAAAGGAACGAAAATCCTTACAAAAGAAGAAACGTGTTGTCTCCGCGGGACAAGGAAAAACAAGATAGGGATAGATGAAGGAGGAAAACGCAAAAATAGGATTAGGACGGTGAAGGTATAGCCTTTCTGGTGAGGGTGGCAGTTGCAAAAGTCTTGCAGAGACACAAAGACAGAGACGAAGCTTTCCTTTTCCCCACCTCCTCGTCTTGATATTCTTCAGCGGTTTTCGGCAATGCTTCGTTGTATGCTTGTCCACCACCTTATAAAGGACGAGCTACTTAACTCCGAATGAAACTCGGAAATAGGGATGCTGAGGGGTGTTTACGTCATTCCGAAACGAGTGTGATACCTAGTCTCCACGCGCTTCCTTGACTGGCTCAAGACAAAGTAATTCAAGTAACAAACTCTTTCATTGTATTGGGGAGGGCAATAGCAAAACAAGCAAAGCAAAAGTAAAACGGAAGGAGTCTGGGACTCGGGGAAATTGAAGTATCGTATTGGGTGAGCTGAGGAACCAAACGGAGACACGTGGAATCCGAACGAGGGGCAATTGGAGTTAGATAGAGCGCGTTTGGATTAGTCCACCTCTATAAATGAGGTGGCACTTGGCTGTGAAGTGGCCCCCACCACGAGCTTCTGTCCTCTTTTTATGTCCGTTTGATTCCTGTGTGGGCCATCCCTTCCTTCTCCGCCCCCACCATTATAACGTCTCCAAAAACGCACTCAATATTTATCTTTTTTTCTTTTTCAAATAAACTCATATTATTTAAATTAAAATATATTTTTATTTTTTTAATTTTATACAAAATTTTATTTTTATTCTTTAATTTTAAAAATTATTTTTAATTTTTTAATTTTAATATTGTTAGTTCCATTAAAAAAATATTAAACTTTTAAATATCGATAAAACGTTTTCAAATGTTAACTTATTAAATTTAATTTTTTATAATAATAATGATAAACATAAAAAATAATCACTTATACTATCAGGGTTAAAGTTAAAAAAGTAAAAATATATTTTATAAAATTAAAAAATAAAAATAAAAATTTATAAAAATTAAAAATATACTTTAACTTATTATTTAACTTATTATTTATCTTTAAACGTCTGTTTTAAAAAATTTAAAGCATGCTGGCCTCTTTATCTTGCCTTTTTGTTTTTGCGATAATTTTGCCAAAAAATATCACGTCACTGATAAGTCTTGGGTTTATCATGCCGTCGTTGATAGGTCAAACATTTATTATATTTTAATTAAAATTTTAGCAAAAAATTGTGTTTGCTTGAATATATTAACCTATTTGGTACTTAGTAAATCTTTGAGTTTAAAATTTAATTTTTGACGGATACATGATAAGGGTAACATTAAACTTATTTTGAAAAATATAAGAATGGCATTATTCACTTTTAAACAGAGAGAGAAAAAGCAAGGTCTACCCTCTATTTTTGCCGAGATAATTTTCTTAAAAAAATTCTTAATAAATCACTTACCTTCCCTCTTACCGCAGCGATAGTCCTGGGGTGAAAAAGCAGAGCTTGCAGTTGATAAGAACTTAAATGCCCATTTTTAATTTGAACGAATATTCTTTTTATTTGAATTCAAAAATTATATAAAAATAAAATTAATTTGTATTGTTTCTCTGAGTATAATTATGATTACTAATTTGTATGATAAAGAATGCAATTGATCGTGGGTTCTGAACTTTTTTATATGAAGCATAAATTTGATTAAAAGGGGTTTAGCTTTTGCCTTTTGTATATGAGGAAAATTGGTCACGCATGTTGGTGGGGAGAGTAATCCTATCTCGCCAATGTGTATAGAGAAGTCAATATTCTATATTTGTATTGATTGCCCTATTGTTAACTTTATTCACGGGTGTGTTAGGATTTTAATTGAAAAAAATTGATTAAAAAAATTGATTATTAAAATGTAATGGTGTTTGAATAAAATTTTAAGAATTAATTATGATATTAATTTTTTAAAATAAAATAAAAATCTACTTCACTGAAATGTAATTTGAAAAGTTAAATGAAATTTTAAAAATGTGGGGTGTTCGGGTAAAAATTATCAAAACCATAATTTTGTGGCTAAAATTGATTTTTCAGGTGTTTCCAAACAGGCTCCACATCATTGACCTGCAGTCTATAATTTAATTTGATGAAATTTAAAATTTAATTTATTTAGACCTTGGTTGCACTATTATGTGAAAGACAATCTATATTAGATTATTGGTCACCGAGGGCATTTTACATTAATGAGTGGAAAATAGTCAATAGGTACACTAGTTATAAGTAACGAATTATCATAAATTTACATCAATTATATGAATAACAACATAAATTTGTTTTTATATTGGTTTACATCTTAATCAACATATATCTTTAATCAAAACATCATAATTATAAGCACACCATTCTATTGTATTTTTCTTATGTGGGTGAGAAAGAGAAAGAAAGGAGGGAGGGAAAGAAGGAGAGGAAGGATTGAAACTCTCATAAATGCGTGTCTGCGTTTGGCACTTGGTACCGTTGATGAGCTCCTACTCATCAGGCCAAGATTGCACCTCCCCTCCGTTATAGTCTAAAATCATATTTGTCATTTATTTAAATTAATATTTAAATACGTTTAATATTATTTTTGTTAAAATAAAATTTATAAAAAAATATAAAAATTTTGATAAATTTACTCATTATCAATTTGATCAATACAAATTTAATTTAAATGGTCTAATTTATTATTAAAAAATTTTATACTTTGACTATAGATAGTTTAGATATAATTTGAATGACCTAATTTAATATTAAAAAAATTATAAATTTCATAAATTAACTATTTAAATATACTCTAAATAATTCATATTTAATATTAAAACTTTTTATTTTTTAATAAATATAATATTAAAAATATTTAAAAATTAATTTAAATAAACAGTAGAGATCATTTTAGACTAAAATGGAGGGCCAAGATTACTCATGGACTTGGCCTAATGAGCACTCTGTGATGAGTGCTAAATGCGAACACCATAAATCTATCCAATATTTCTCAAAAATTAAATACAAATAAAAACTCTAGCCCTATTTATAGAGCTATAAGAATAATAAAATAGTAAATATAAATCTAAATTATAATTCTAATTTAAAGATATTGATAGAATGCTAATATCCTATTTTATTGAACTTAGATGAATATAAGATAGTGATAAAATACAATAATAAATCTTAATACTAATGGATAAAATCCTTATTCAAGTATTCTTGATGAATAATCCTAATATATTAAATAAACTCTAATTATCCTAGTTATCCATTATCTCATATTTCATCAATATATTAGTGACATAATTTCAATTTCTTTGCTAGTTTTGGTCTTCAATTTCTAGTCTCATTTGTCTCCTGATTTCTTACAAGATATTAGGGGAAGGTTAATCAAGTTTTGATCTCCAACCCTCCCTTTTTATTTTGCTTTCATGATTACTCTTAAGCCTTGTCGAGGATTTAAGAGAAGTAACTTCGTTCCAACATTATATTGTGTTTTTCCTACGCAAGTTAGAAAGAAAGAAAAGAAGGGGGGAGAGGGAGAGAGAGGACTAAAACTCTTAAAAATCTGTCCAATATTTATTAAAAACTAAATACAAATAAAAATTCTACCTCTATTTATAGAGTTATAAGAATAATAAAATAATAAATAATTTAAATTCTAAATCTAATTTAAAGACACTGATAGGTTGCTAATATCCTATTTTATTGAACATAAATGAATATAAGCTAATGATAAAATAAAATAATTAGTCTTAATACTGGTAGATAAAATGCTCATTCAAGTATCTCTAATAAATAATCCTAATATTTTAAATAAATTTTAATTATCCTAATTTCTCATTATCCCATATTCCATCAATATATTAATGATATTATTTCAATTTCTTTGTTAGTTTTGGTCATCAATTTCCAGCCTCCTTTATTGCTCCCTGAATTCTTTGATGGTACCAACAATAAATTAATTAAGTTTTGATAATTTGTTTGGGCCGTAGCCCTTTCTTTATTTTGGTTTCAAAATAATTCAATTTGAAATTTTACCTAATGATTCATGCCTTTGAGAATCACTTTCAAGTTTGTTAAGAATTGAGTGTAACAAGCTTATTTCAATCATATTTTGCTTCTTCACTCTCAAGTTTTCTCACTTAGAGATTCATTCATTCAAAAATTACTTTCAAGTTTGCCTAGGACTAATAGAAACTACATCGTTCCACTTCTCTCATGTGTGTATATGTATACATGTGTGTATATGTATATATATAGACAGCTACATTTTACATTCTATTTTAGTAATATGTTTAGACTTGGTGTGACAAGGATTGGGGTAGGAGAGGGAGATGAAAGTTTGGAAATGTACCAAGTTCGGAACCTTGAAATGGAATACGAGTTTCATGGTTATTATTAATTCACTAAACCCCATGTCTTGACAAGTGGACAACACCAATTAAGCCAATCGTGGCTTCATGCAAATTTTACATCACGACAGGTCCTTGATGTCGAAAGCTCTGCTCAAACTGTCCTTCGTATATTATTTTAGTATTTATGCCACAGACGACAGTAAAATTATTTTGAAGTGATCAGGAAGAGGACCACCTAGTCAATTTTGCACTGCACAAGCCATTTGTTTATCATGTAACATTCGTTCCGTATAAAATAGCCAGGGTTCAAGGTCCTGCACTGATTAAGAAGTGGATGAATTAGTCTAAGTTGGGGTAAATTTTAATTATATCTGATTAAACAATTATTTATTGGAAAGTTGCGAAATAAGAGCTGAGATGGGGAGTGTAAATTAAGTTTGGAATCACTAGGTAGCAGAGTACGGCGAGGACTGGTTCCTGGGCTTCTAAATGGACAACCAAGACAAGTTCAGTACCAGCAATTCCCCCCAACCCCCCAGGCTTTTCATAACTTACACAACAGATCATAAATAACAGGGGGCAGTGGAATAAAATATCTTAAAAAGGAGTTAACGAGTATGACGACGGAGACCAAAAGATCACAGACGTAATCACCGAGGTAGTCCTTCAAAGGCAGTGTCAGAGTCCAAGCCTGTTCACATTCGTCTCATTAGAAAAAAAATCCCTCTGCAATCCAATTAATGAACGAAGACTTGCTTAAAATTGTGATTCCTCTGTAAACATTTGCTTTTAAGCAGTATCATGACTCATGAGTTGTATTTCTTTTTTAAGAAGCTTGCAGGGAACTGGGAAGCTCAATTATGCACCTTACTCGCAGCCAGTTCACAAGTTGTGAAGAGCTTGGAATAAAAAGTTACCTGTAAAGGTCATTCTGAACTAATTGACGGA